GCCATTAGTCAAAATAGAAGTTCATAGAGAGGATTGAAGATGTGCAGGTAGGAGAGTGGGGCATCTCATGAGTGATTGGAACAGGCCCTCCACAGCATCCAGCTATGCTGCAGACAGTTGAAAGTAGGTCATTACTGACTATGTAATAGTGGAGTTGAAGGAGATTTGTTTTTTGGACTTAAGTGGCATTTTTACTGCAATGCATCACTGACCCACACTTACAAGTTCGATCGTGAATGAAGGGTCATATGAAATAGCAGTGGTGGAGTTAGTAAAATTCAAACATACATACCAGTCTGTCCATAGGGACATTTTCCCTCTCATGTTTTACTGTTTAGAAAGCTATATTTGTGGTAGTATCTCCTTTCTTAACTTTGGTAAGACTCATGCATTTTTTCTTTTTAAAAATAGTAGGTTTCAGTATAGTCTACCAGTATTTTTCTTTCAGGCCCTAAATGACAGAGTATTGCTCAAATAAAATCACATTGTAACCCCAGCTGATTACTTTGGCAATAACAACCAGGCCATGGGCTAATGATCCATACTCCTCCACTCAAAAATATTAAGTGTTTTATTGTGGTTTTTACAACAAACTTGGACAAGTAGTACGATTTTCTTTTTCTTCATTCTTCCTTTTTCCTTTAAAGAAAATTTTTTATTTTATCTTAGTAACTGATCCCATTTATCATCAGCATAGTGACCATGTTTCCAAGGCTATAGGCAGTAGAAAGGTAAATGGACATGAGTTCAGCTCCTTTGAACCTTTGGGACAAATAACAGCCTGATACTGCACACTTGAGATGGGGACATGTGTTTTCTCCTTTTACAATAAAATTAATGGATTTACATAATTGTTATTTAGTGCGTGCCTCAGTGAATACATTTTTTTAAATTGACACAAAATTTGAAAGCAGGAAGGAGAAGCTTATATAATATGTTATAAATATTAGCACCCATTTTTTTAAAAACAAAAAGTGACCCTTGGTAAGACTTCAAGATGCATTTGAACATAATTTTGTTGTTGCATTGGTGACATTTAGTTATAGTGGATTAAATGCAAATATTTCTGCTGACCTGGATTATGAGCTCCCTCCGAGGGGTGCAGAAACTGTCTTGTTTTCCCAGCTCCAATAAAAGGTCCACACGCAAGACACTCAAAGAATGCTTGATGAGTGATTAAAGGGAGTTTCTAAACTATGAGACAAGAGACAATGTTTTAGTACTGGTTCTGCTTCAGTTTCCTCAACTCTGAAACAAATTTCCAGGTCATAAATTCCAATGCTTTTTTGAAGGGTTTCTTACTAAAAAATTATTTTTGATCCCAGATAGGAAAAGATAAAGAATCTCCTTTCCAAAAATGTTTGAAGTATAGCTTGTTTAATGAGTTCAGTTTGGTTTTGCCTACAGCAGGGGTTGGACTGATTGACCTTTAGAGGTTCTTTACCAATTCTGTGGTGGTAGGATCCTACCAATTCTCCTCTACCTTGGGATCTGGGTCAGAATTACTGGGTATGGAGCCCCACTCCAGAAATGATTTCAACTACTGAACTATTTCTGTTTTCCTCTTGTTTACCATCAGGATATTTCCCCTTTCCATGGGGATTTTCTGAAAAGGTCACACAGTCGCTTCAGCAAACTATCCTCTTGTTGAATGACAATGATAGCCTCATTCTCTGGTTGGCAACAAGAAGCAACTAACTGCCATGTGATCTAGGCAGAAAGAGGGGGCTAGGCCACTTAGCTGGCCAGGGCCAGAGGGAAAGTCCACCCTCCTGTGATGACACTGGGGCTGTGGCAGTCTTCCATGGAAGTGACCACTGGGCACAGTTACACTGAGGCTTTGCTGGAGCAGTATAGAGGGAAGGACGCACCTTCTGTGACCAGCTCTGGCCTTATAGGGAAGGAGTTCCAAAATACTTCAGAGAATCCCATCTGTATTGCCTTTCCTGTCCACTTCCTAAATGCATACACAAGATAATCTATTGTCCTTGGGACCAAGGACAATCCTGCTATAAGTACAGTGAATAGCTCTAGGTAGCGCTAGAGTATAAACCAGTCTAGTCATCCATCTATTGAATACTTTCTGAGTCCCTGCCATGGGCTAGACCCTGTACTAGGTACTGGGCTCAGGATGGTGCATGAAATCACACCCTACAAACTGATGGTCTCATTGGGTAAGCATAGACATGCACAACTAATTATCAAAATAGCATAAGGGACCTGTTTTGCCTGGGAGTATAATCTCCCCACGTCTCCGTAAAGGCTGTGGATTCATCCATACTGTGTGCTGGCAGGGCTGGTGTCCGTGTTGCTCTGTCCTCCCATATATGACCTGTCCTGTATATGAGGCACTTGGCTCATCTGACCAGAGCATTCTGCTGCCCAGATCCCTTGGTGACTCCCATTCCCTATCAAATTAAGATCTAACCCTTTAGCAAGGCATACAATTTGACTCTCACTTACCATTTCAGTTGTTTCTCTTGCCACTTCATTAAAGAGCCCATAATTCATAGTGCTCTTTTCATGTTTCAATCTTTAGTCCCCTACAGCAGACGCACTAGGGGTCTTGCTCACATCAGGCCACATTTACCTGTCCACACGCACTAAAAATTGCTGCAAACACCTGCGTCTCTCTTTCTGCAGCTTTTCTTTGGCTATGGGAGGACCCTAGGCAGGGCAAGCCAGAAGTGTCCCTGGAAGCACTCCCCCACCCCAGCTTCCTTGCCCTTCTGTTGGGTTAATTCTGAGAGATGCTTTACACTATACTGACTCACAGAACTGTCCAAAGGGATTGAGCTCCAACTGCCCATAATGGCAGCTATCTTGATAACATACCCTTCTTCCACTCCTGGTTGCATTCTCCATTCCCCTACTGCTGTTTCCTGGGATCATCTCGCAATTACTAACTATTGCATCCTTGTTTCTGGGCCTACTTCTGGAGGGATCCGAACCAAACAGTCCCTTCTGACTCTCCCACCTTGGCCCAAATGCCCCCTGTCCCCAGTGGGTTGAGCTCCTCATTCCTGAGGGCAGTGTTGAGCAATCTCCTCCACTATGATGCTAGTTCCAAACCACCACACTCCACATCCACAGTGGTAGAACCTCTGTCCCCTGAGATCCTTGGCCCTTTACACAGGCCTCTCTCACTCAGTGCACCGTGCAATATGGTACTACCATACTGGCATATTTGACTTTGCTCACTAAGAATTATGACATACTCATCTTTGCCAGCCTAGGCCCTAGCAGACTGCCTTGACAGAATAGATGCCCAATAAACATTTGATGAATGAATATGTGACCTTCCTGCTGTGGTTTCCCAGTCTACACAGTGAGAAAGTGAAAACCATGTTCCTGACCCAGCCCTTCCAGGCAAAGGAGAATTCTTTTGCTCCTTGAGAGGAGGTTAGGAAACCTCTCCTTGCCCCTCCCATCGTATTGTCCCTGATTAGGATCTTACTGCAAAGAAGGGGCTCTCTTTCAATGCAGGGCAGGTCTCCAAGCAGACTTGCCCAGGTCACTAGGAATCTGTGGAGTAAATTCCAAGGGTGTGAAAAACCAGTAAGGGAGGCCTGAGGGCTAGTGCAATGGCCATATGAAAATTGCTGTAGATAAGCTGGAGGCAACTTAAAGATGCCATCAGTCTGTAAAGCTGCTATCTTTGTAGCTTTTATCATAGGGTGAAAACCAGCTCTGCAGTAAGCTGAGGGCTAAATAAATAGCTCAAAAGGAGATATAACCCTGGAGAGGAATCCAAAACTGTTGGTTGAGAAAGCACCCTGTCTTTTGGGAAGGCTGATTTCAGCTGACTTTCTCTGCTTTGCCTACGGTGTTATTTTAAAATCTCACTGCCAGTGGAGATCTGATCCCCTCTGCAGAACCAGGACTAGCAGGGATGGATGGCACAGGCTGATCCCCTGTGAAGTTAGACTTCAAACAAACAAACAGAAACACAAATTCCAGAGCCATGAGAAGTAGAGCTGGTCTTCCCTGCTGAGCAGAAATGGAAATGAACTAAAAAGCCAGCACTGTAGGAAACAAGAGTTGGCCCAGGAAAATGAACCCATGTTCCACTATGTCATTGAATGAGATCTGGGAAGAATCAAGGAAGATTTGAAAAGAAGGGGAGCAACCATGAAAGGGGCAGTAGAGGCACTAAATAGACAAGGAAGGAAGAAGTATTCGCATTGCTTTAAGGGCTTGCATTGGCCAGGCAGATAGCACTTATTTATCTCTCTTATCAGAGAAATTTGAGCTATTATTATACTATTATTATTGTAAATTTAAGTTCAGTAGCTTTGAGCTCTTACCATTGCCATTGTACAGAAGGAAAAACAAGCTCAGAGAGGTTAAGTTAATGACTTGCCCAAGGTCTCCTAGTAAGGAATGAAAGCTGGGTCTAAATGACAATGAGGATTTGAAAACAATCTGCACCCAGTTTAAAATACAAGATGACCGTTGCTGTTTGATTTAAGTCATGTGCTCCACATAGTCAGGAATCATAACTCAAAATTCTGTGCATCTATCATTTTTTTCCTCCTCCCTGCACTTGTAAAATCACTGCCTTTGGGGGCATTGTGAGATAGGCACTGTGGCCGTGGGAGAAAGAAGGGGGAAGGCTTGTTTAGAGGATCAAGTTTAAAGAGACCTAACCTTTGGAAAATCTCCAAATTTGGGTTTCACCATGTGCTTAGGTTAAAAAGAAGGAAAGAAAGGAAGGAAGGACAAAAGAAAAAGGAAGAGAGGGAGGGGGGAGGTCTACAAGCCCAGGATTTAAATGTTCACACTTCCTAATATTGGTTATGACTATAGGGACACGGAAATACCACGGGACTGGCAAGCACTGCCCTACTTTTAATTCAGCCCCAAGCAGGAAGGCTTAGGTATGTCACGAGAAAGCCTCTTGTTACCGCCCTAACACCAGAACAAAACCCCTGGGAGGAGACTCCCATCCTGACAGCCGTGATTTCCAAAGAAGCCGGGCTGGTCTTATGACTGTGATAGCTCAAGTGTCCCATTGTGTAACCCACTGATATTTAAAATGACCCTCGAAACCATCCTACAGGATTAGGAAGATAAAGTACATTAATTTTAGTAAAAGGAGAGAGGAGAGAGAACTCTTGTTGAGGAGCAAAACGAAGAAGAAAGAAACCTGGACAGGAATCCTGGACGTGTGGGTTCTGGTTCTGACTCCTCCACCAGTGCAAACTTCCTGCGGTGACTTTGTCTCTGCACTTTCCTCTGCTTCATGAGGGACCTGTGCTAGATGACACAGACGAAAACTGCCAGCTCCCGAGATCTAAGGGAACATTCGGAGGCTTTCAAAGAGGTAGGCCAGTGAATGTGATTTGGAGCTGGTTGACTATAAGATGATGAGTCAGAAACCAATCCAAGGACTACTTTTATTTTTCTTCATTTCCAATTCCCTTATTTGGGTTCTATTACAGGAAAGATAAAGAGAGAAAAGGAACTGTCAAGAGGTAAATGAAAGAAGGAAAACAGTAAATAAAACAAAAATCAACCGATACTTTTCAACAAGCTGGATTACAAAACTAGGCACCCTAGTGTTTTTTGAGGTGGCAGTGTCATCACTGTGGAAAGAACACAGATTCTGTTTTGAATCCAGACGACCTAAGAAACCTAAAAATGAATCATAGTTTTATCACTTATGGTATTCACAACCCTGAGTCAATCCCTTCATCTTTTTAAGCCTCAGTTCCCTCCTGTAGAAAAGGAGAATTATTTGAACAGTAGTAATAACTACCATTTATTAAGTGCTGTATGTGCCAGGCACTGAGCTAGGCTCTTCATATTATGTCTCTGAATCTGCCCACAACTGTATGAATTAGGTATTACCATTCCTATTTTACAGGTAAAGACATCAAGACTAAACAAATCTAAGAGCAGAGCTGGGATTTAAACGCATTTCGGTGACTCTAAAGCTTAACCTCGTATCTACCCTCCTATACTTTCCCAGGGGATAATATGGATCAAATAAGGTACTTTGTGAATGGCAATATACAAGTGTTTTATACAATATTCATTATCAGTACACCAATAATGGTGAATTTTTTTAATGTTCACAATCAAAGTGAGTATCCAAATAGAATTATGTATAATCTTATTTGGATGTCTAATCAAACAGAGGCAAAAGATGGCTCCAGGCTAATCAGACCCTGGGAGCTTCCCCCATTAGTTTCCATCATTGAATGTCTAAGTTTCTGGGCTCAGGAAAACAGTTTGCTTAAGCAGAAATGTTGATAACTGAGAAACAGTGCAGGGAACACACAGAGCATATGTGAAACCTCTTTGGGCTATACAGTTTTATCTCTGAAAGTACCATCTGGGCAAGCACACCAGAAAATAACCACAGATTACCAGCTGTTAAATTTTACCTTTAAAAAAAAAGTCAAGCAAAAGACTCAGTAACCTACCATGCAGTAATTCTGGATTGTAGTCAGAATAAAATAGGTGGCAAACTGTCCCTATGAGTCATCAAGGCCAACGAAGGAGCTGTTTGGCCTTTTAGAACCGGGCCACATTAACTTGAAATTGAATCTTAGTGTGGAGGGATGGTGCATAGCCCCTTTAAAAGAGGATGTGGGAAACCAATGACTCAAGCAGGTGGCACAGTTGACCTGGGAGTCTCAGTCCCACTGAGGACCTGCGTAAGGAAGCCTCTTCTCTACCTAGTCAGGACTTCAGCCTCCTCAGTTCCCTTAAGGAGTTCTGAACTTTTCAAACCCGTTAGACAGATGCAGAATGTGAAACGGGAAAACGACCTTAGAACTCATGTGGTCAAATGTTCTCATTTCACCGGCGAGAACACAAAGGCCCAGACAGGTGAAGTCTAAAGGTGCCAAAGCTCATGAGTGGCACAGGAGGAACGTACATCTCCCACTCTCCGAACCACGTTCTGGAGGGCGATACTGCCTCACCCCTCCTTCACCCTTTGGGATTCCCACACTGATGTGCTGAATACCACAGTGCATTTAAAAATGATTAAATGGTAAATTTTATAATAGGTATATTTTACTACCAAAAAATACTTTTGGCAAGACAGGGAATACTGAGGAGTGTTTTTCAAGACGTTATCTGGGTCTGGAGCCTAAATGTCTCAATATAATTCAGTAAATGTTTATCAGGCACCTATTGTATACCAGGCTCTGGGCAAGGTATGGCAGAGTATGTAAAAATGACAAAACCCTAGTCTTTACTCTCAAAGAATAAATAGTAGGCAGCTCAATTGATGAAAACGCAAAGTCAAGAGGAAGAGTGCTGTATGGTGAACCATGATCCTGAGGTGCCAACAGGACATTTTTGTATGATTTTGGTGAGTGAGATACTGTGTGTAATGCGCCTAGTACAGCAGCAGGCATGTAGGAGTTTAATCAATGCTATTATTGTTACTATTATGTGACTCTTTTGACACTTACCTTCCTCTTTTGCAAAACCAGAGGTTTGGATTAGATAAACTACAGACTCAGCAACCAGGAATGGAGGTGGTCTTCTGTTTTGTCGATAGTAAAGTGAGGCAAAGCACGCTAGAATGACTGTCCTCACAATATGAGAACTCAGAAGCCCTGGCTGAGAATGGGTGGGCTCCGTTCTGCAGTGGCTGATCTACAGGAGCTCTTCTGCATCTTCCAGCATACAGCGGCCTTGGCCACAGAGCTAAATCAGCGACTCTGGGGCTGCCTTGTTCTGGGTCTCACAGCTGGAGCGAGTTGTTAAACCCAGACATTATTAAAATTCAGTGATATAAACTTAAATGAAATGAATTAAATGTAAAATGAACTAGCATATACTTCAAAAAGTATCTTCTCCTAATCATTACGTCTTTTTACTACTGTTATCTATGTTTTTAAGGTTATTTACATCAATCCTACTTTGAATGGTGGAAAGAAGATAAAATGGTGTGCTACTGTATATCACTTCCCAGCTCCTCATTCAGTGATTAGCAGCTTGCAATCAGCCAAGGAAAGAGTATTTACACTACAGAAATTAGCAAACAGTACAAATTAGTGTTGGACCTCCCCCGAAGCTGGTTAAACATTTACCAGCACAGCGCTGGCTCAAACCAGCAAGTATAATCTGGGTCTCTTGCAATCACTCTCAAAGAGAAAAGAGCATAACTACCATCCCACGGCATGTAAGTCAGGGGCCCATGAAGAAACAGACTGGGAGACATGGCCTTCTTATCCTCTGTTTCCTTAACCAGAATAAAATAATTCTGAGTGGTTGGCACACAGCCATGGACCTCTCATGTTCAATTCTTCATCCCTGTTTGCAAGAGCTAATTACAGTGAGGGGGTGTGCAAAGCAACAGTTCTTTGTGTTCAGAGTGAAATAATGGCTTAGTCACCCCTGAGAGTATCAAGGCTCTGTACTTTTCCTCAGAACAGTGAGCACAAATCCCAATCTGATGGCATGTGACTTTTTCTTCTTCTAAATGAATCAGACTTTATGAATAGAAATTTACTTTTCCTCCACCCGCTCAGGCCCAGCCATGCCAGGTAGCATATTTTCTGTTTTTCTAGTTGAGTTGACTCACCAATAGTTTTAGAAGCCTCTTGGTTCCCATGTTTAGTTCTGATAACATCAGAGGGAGTTGGAATCCTTGCTTTGCAAACTCACTGATTATATAGCATACATTTGATTCTGTTTTTGTGGAGAGAAAACAAAACCCACTCCTAAAACAGAGCTAAGCCCTGGGTTTGGGAAGGGAATCTTCTCTTTTCAGACTTCTGGGACAAAACTAGACCAGTGAGCTGACCTGACTGCGGTTCCAATGCCCTCTCCTAACCCCAGGACAAGGCAGGGTGGGTCTGAGCTGCGTACCAGGCCACCTTTCGACAAAATTTAGGACCAAAAGGGTTCAGGCCTCAAAACCCTTAACACTGACAGACATTGGTGCTCCCCAAATCATAGGTAATTCAAAATAAAATTTCCAGTAACACAAAACCTATGTGGAGGGCAGAGTAGTATCTTGCATAAGTCTGTAGATTCTAGAGCCAGACTGCTTAGGTTTGAACCCTGGCTTTCCCATTTAACCGTATTGTGACATTGGGCAACTTAAAATCTGTGTCTCAACAGTATAGCACAGAGAAGACAAGTAGTGACTCTGTGGCATCTTACTACACTGATAGACAGTGACTGCAGTGGGGTATGGGGGGGGACTTGATAATATGGGTGAATGTAGTAACCACATTTTCATGTGAAACCTTCCTAAGAGTGTATATCAATGATACCTTAATAAAAAGCATGTATTTTGTAGGATAAAAAAAATCTGTGTCCCAGTCTCATCATATGTGGTAATGTTACCTACCCTTGTAAGGTTGGCAAGAAGATTAAATTATGTTAAAATTTGTAACACACTTAGAGAAGTACCTGGTACATGGTAAGTGCCACATAAATGTTAGTTATTCTTTAAATGCCAACATACTTTCTGGTTTGGGATTGAAAATTTGTACATAGGTTAACTGAAGCTGAACTATTATGTATTCTTTTTCCTATTTATTTATTTCCTGATACCCAAAACACATGACCTAGCTCTGAGACACCAGGCAGGTGTTTTGCAATACAATTCCATAAATCAATCATCAAACAATCTTCATGCAGCTTGGACCTAGAATTTGAAGTGCATTCTGTTGGTTACGATTCATGGTTTGAATGTCAGTCACAGAGAGCTCTTTTTGTTTTGGTTGTTTGTTCAGCTTTTCATTTTTAAATAGTGATTAGACTTACAGAAAAGTAGCAAAAATAATACAGAAAGTTCACAACTACCCCTTACCCAGCTTATCCTAATGTTAACATCTTTCATAACTATAGTACAATTATTAAAGCCAGAAAGTTAACATAGATAAAAGCCTGTCAACTAAACTATAAACCTTATTTGAATTTCAGCATTTTTCCACTAAAGTCCAGCATCCAACATAGGCTCTTGACTTTAGTTGTATCTTCTTAGTTTCCTCCAATCTGCCATGGTTGCTCAGTCTTTCCATTTCTTTCCTGACCTTGACACTATTGATGAGTAGCAGCTAATTATTTTATAGAACGGCTTGCAGTTTGGTTTTGTCTGATGTTTACTCATGATTAGATTGAAGTTGTCTTTTTGGTAGGAGTCCCACGGAAGTGATGTGTCCTTGGTGCATCATTTCTGTGGGAATAGGATGTTTATACATCTCATTAGTGGTCATATTAACCTTGATTACTTGGTTAAGGTTTCTCTGTATAACTGTAAAGTTACATACCTATTTTCCAGAGTAGAGGACATTGTTAGTAACCTCAGAATAAAGGAAGCTTTTTTTGCCATGCCAGACCCTCTATACTAATAGCTTACATTTATGTCCTGCTGTATGAAAGGTTCTATACATATTACCCAACATCTCAGTGTACTTTATTATTTGAAGTACGAGGTAGAACTTTAAAATGTCACTTGAGTAGCACCTCATATGAAAAATTATTTTGGTTACTTCAAGGGAATGCTTATTTGAATGGGGTTTCAAAGCTTTATCATGGAATAACAGAGTAACAACAATACTGTAAACTTAAAATAACATGTGTAAAGGAAAAATTTACACTGTAATGAACATATGAGACCAAATAAATAAATAAATAAAATAACAGTGAGGCCCATGTTTTAGGTATGTATCATGTATGGTCCATTGTTAAATGGTAATTCTTTGGGGAGAAAAATTAAGCCTATGAGAGAGCCTGAAAAATCCATGTGGAAGAGTAATACTATAAAGACAAAATTTCAGAGCTTGATATTTTGGGCAAATGAGACAATATATTATATATAAACATTTTTAATATACTAAAAATCCAATAATGTATATTATTTGCCTCTTAAGTATATTAAAAATCAAAATTTCTGTTATTTCCTTCCTCCCTCCCTGCTCCCCTCTTTTTATTCCTTTCAGCACCACTACATCTCTATATAGTCTAAACCATACAAATTAATACTAGGTCATATATCCAGTCCTGGGTTGTTTTCCAATTGACTTATGACTTGGGAAGTTCTTTGGAGACAAGGATCAAGTCTTAGACACACAGTCTATTCCCCACAGGGCCCTAGGACAGAATTAATCTTAAGAGCTAATATTTATGGACCATTTAATTTGTGTCTAGCATTATTCTAAGTATTTCATACTCATTATCTCACTTGCTCTTCAGAAGAGCCTCTGAGGTACATGCTATTATTATTCCCATTTCACAGATGAGGAAACTGGAGTTAAGTGACTATCCCTAGTCAACTAGCTAGTAAGAGGCAAAGCCAGGATTGCAACCTCTGTCCAGCATTAAAGCTGCTGGCACAACCATTGAGATCTACTGTATGCCTGCTGGCCCTAAATATATAGCAGATACTCAGAAAATGTTTGTTGACTTTTCAATTGATTGCTTCATTCATTTTGTTTATTCTTTTATTCCTAGTAAGGGGTGGAAGACGGAAAGTCAGGAAGATGGGGAAGGAGACAGTTAACAAGAAGTAGCCGTAAAGTAACTGATCTGAGGGCTGGTGCCCAAATAGAGATTGAAGTGGGGCATGTAGGAGGGAGACGGAAAAGTAGCTTTGGAGGCAGCCAAGCTAGTGACAGCCTCCGCCATCGTCACAGCTGGAAGTCACACTGGCATCATGAAGGGTTGTGCAATTACATTCATCTGGTGTGACTTGAGACCAGAGACTGCAATTCCCATCTTGTCTCCCTAACTTCCAGCAATCTTATGTTTTGTTCAGTCTCAGAGTTTAGTTTGATTCATTCATTGATGAGATAACAAATTATGTTCTAGGTTCTGGGGATATGTAAGTAAAAAAAAAAAAGGTAACAATTCCAATGCTGGCAAAACTTACATTTTCATTGGGAGGACACAAACAATGAACATAATAAATAAGTAAATTCTGTAGTAGCTTTAAAGCGTCAAGTGCTGTGGTTTAAAAAATAGAGCAGGGTGAGGGAGACCAGAAGTCCTGAGGGCAGAGGGGGACTGGTCGGAATAGACCTCACCTGTAAGGTAGTATTTGAACAAATATTTAAAGGAGATGAAGTTAAAAGAAAGATAATGACAGGAATGATAAGACCCATACTACTAGATTATAGAAATTAAGAATGAACCATTTATAATCAAATTTATAATCAAATACTGAGCAGCTGAGTACTTTCACAAAGGGAGAGTTACCTACAGAGTTGGTCATTCTTCCCTGGGAGGTCCGAGGGATGACAGAGCATCTGTTGGTCAATTTTCATCTCAATTATTTAAAAATAGAACTTCCAAACTTAAGTGGTGGTAGCATACTTTTGAGCCACCATCAGTTTTATTTGTTTGCACACAGGCTGTGTGTGAATTTGTGCATTAAGTGGTTTGTTCTCATGACTACATAACTGCAAACCACAAAATGATTATGAGAATCGTCATGGAATAGCAAAGATGGTCTTTCTATTCATGAACCAAGTGAAGCATAAAATTGGTAAATAACTTTTCAAGAATAGCCTAAAGATTTGCTTTTAATATACATATATAAAGAAGTACTGCTAAAATAGTGTCTTAGACAAGGAACTTTAAAATTGAGTGGTTTCCCAATTTCTATTCTTATCTACTAAGTGCTAACAATTATTGAGCTCCTACCATGTGCAAACATCATGTGAAGTATTTATTGTGTATAATTTCATTTCACTTACTCACTCATTTAACAAATATTATTGAGCATTCACTTGTGCCAGGCATTGCTCTAGGCTCTGGGGATGTGGCAGGAAACAAAACAAACAAAACCCTTCATCTTACGGAAATGGATATGTAATAGGTCAGGTGGTAATAAGTGCTATAAAGAGAAATCAAACCAGGCTGAGGGGGTAGACAGAACCTCTGGGTGGAGGTGCCACCAATGTACTATAGAGTGATCAAAGGCTCTCTAACAGAATGACAGTTGGTGTTCTGAACAAGACTGTTTCTAGGCAGAGGATACAGTAGTAAGTAAGAGCATTTAGTATTTGACTGTAAGGTAATTACTATCTCATAGGAAACTGGAGGCTCAGGGATACAATTCTTATTTATGTGTCCATGTCACATAAGTAGTAACAGGCAAAGCCAAAACATGACTCCCGAAATATGGACCTCAAAATCCATGCCTTCCTCTTCTCAAATATCATTCAGTATACTTGTCCTAACCAAGAGTTACTCTTTTAAAAGTTTGGCAGAGTATAGGACTACCAGGAATTAATTGGTGCTGCTGTTATTTCTGTAATTTACTCCAGCCTTAGGCAAATTACTGACAGTTGCTCTTCCCCAGAGCCTGTAAAATGGGGCACAGGTAATTAACAACTCAGTACAAGTGTTATGACAACTAATTAGTTACTGCTTACAAAATACTCTGAACATTAACAATAAGAGTGTCTTCACTCTGAGTATCACATTTTCCTCCCAGTGAAACTCTAGATACCCCCATCCCTGTCCTTCCCCAGCTTCCATATCAGGTCCTTCTCGGATTTCCCTCTGTGGGCAAAATGAATTACCCCGCTGCTAAAACCAGAAGCCCAGGAGTCATCTTTAACTCCTCTTCCTTCTATTACATACATACACAAGTACTGTTCATTCTAACTCCAAAATGTATCTTGTATCCATCTACATCTCTCCACTTTCAATGCCACTGGTCTATTTCAACCCACTGTTCTCTCTTGCATGGAGGATGGCCATAATTGGCTAACTGGCCTCCTCCTTTTCCATCTTGATCCTCTCCATGCATTTGCCCCACAAAAATTACCAAGAGCAACCTTTGAAAACAGAGATGTATCATCTCCCTACTTAAAACCCTTCAGTGACTACTGATCACAGACAGGGTAAAGCACACCCCTACAGTGGCTAGGGTGATCAACTCATCCTGTCCAGCCCAGGACTTTCCCAGTTTAAGCACTGAAAATCCCACATCCCAGGAAACTCCTCAGTTCTGGGCAAGCAAGAGTGATTGGTCACCTTAACTGTGGCCTGTCAGCCCTTACAGGAAAGGCTCCTGCCTGCCTCATGGCCTCATCTCATGCCATCTTTCCCTCAGTCACTACGTACTTTGCACACTGGCATTTGTTAGGTCCTGGAATATCTGGACCCTTTCCATTCTCAAGGCCTCGATGGTTGTACTTGTCTTTCCCTTGGCCTGGAATG